CTGTCTGCCCCCCCCCCCCGGTCTTGGTTTCCCACTATGGGGAGGCGTGCATGCGCCCGCGCGCGTGTCCAGCTGTCTGTGCCGTTGGGACGCGTGTGGATGGCGTGGGGAGTGGAGAGCCGCAGCCGCAGCATCGACGGATGGATCGAGAATCATGTTCCATTGACCGGCGTGCCGTGTTGTTGTCGTAGAATGAATGGCGGTGCCGGTGGTGGAGGGGACAGGGGGATGGATGGCTGCCTCGGGTGTCGGTTGCCAGGCAGGCACTCCCTCTTTTCTCGAAACACGGCAGTTAACAACAACCAAGGTCTGGTGTGTGCAGTCCACTCTGTCGGAGGACGAGACAAATGCACCACCGACCGACGTCGTCCGTGCTATTGAATGTCCGGCATGCCACCCACCGCCGCCATGGATTGTGATTGCATGCTGACGTCGCTTGTTTTTCGATTGAAAGTATAGCCTAGCGTGCGACGGCGGGGTCGCCCGTGGCTGTGGCGTATCGGTTGCTCTACGTTCTTTTGTCTGGTGCATGTTTTTCGTGTTTTTGTTTTTTCGCCGTCGTCTGTCTGTCGCTTGATTCATTTGGTCGTGGTCGCGCCGGGGTAGGCTCTTGGCCGGTGCGTGTACGGCAGCAGACGAAGCTGGTGCTACGTAGAGTAGACGTTTTCCCCCCGTCCCTCGTCCCCCGTCCCCCGTCCCCCGTCCCCCCCGCGACCCGTGGTTTCGTATTTTTTGGTGACATATAATGAGGGAAATGAGACAACGAGTGAGGTTTTGATGTACTGGAACAACTACATAATTCCGTTATTGTTATTGTTGTTGGCGATTTGGAATGCCGAGTATTGCTGCAGCAGGCATCATTGCAGTTGTAGGCAACGGTTGGTTCCTCCTTCGTTCATTGTTGTCGCCCTTTCAGCGTGGACAGGCGGTATGATGTATGGTAGGCACATGGTTGTCATGCCGGAGGGGGCGCGAGCGAAGCTTTCCCAACCGCTTGTTTTGTGGTGAGCCTCATTATATTGAGGTCAGCACTCGCACGAGTGATGCTGCTGCTGCTGCTGCTGCTGTTTTCTGTTTTCGTTAGAGTTTCCAAGCCGCCTTTCGCGCTTGCTTGTTCTTCCCCACGGATTGTTCGGCGTGAGAAGGGCGAATGGTTGTATTGTACCCTCAGCACGGTTAGTTGATTTCATCGCGGCTGTCCCTCTCTCTGCTAATAATGTATCACGAGCGATATAAAGTACTTTGGAGGATGGGCACACGACACAAACGAACTATTTACATATTTATAGGTGGACTGTAGTTTTCATCTGTCAGACCATGTCTAAAATCCAGTGACTATGATATATATGCCATTTATATATATTTTTATATGTCCTCCCCCAATTGCTTGCGAACGGGTCTCACAGCAGTCGCCACTCACTGTACTGCGTGCTTAGAATAAAGCATAAGCTCATCATTCCCTCCCGTGAGCAAATTAACTCCGATACTGATCTCCGGAGAAAATGTTTCGTAAGGAAGGGGGGGCTGTGACGGGGTCGTCCGGTGGGATGCTGGCCGGGCACGTTGAGTTTTTCGTCTCAATTTTAGAGCAGGGCTAATTCCCCCGCTGCTGCTCTGTGAGGCGTCGAGCTGGAGCTGAGTGAATAAGATATACCTTAATGTGTGGTAGCCAAGCCTTGGTACCCCCCCCCCCCCCCCCCCCCCCCCCCCCCGAGGGGGCCCAAATATCAGCGCGGTAACGACTTTGTTGTTTGGTGTGAAAGAAGAACAACTCTCAGTCATCATCAATCAGCTACAGCAGGCGGCTGTACTTGCTGCTGGTGCTGCCATGTGGACGTGCACTTCTTGCTTCCCTCGCTTGTATGTTGCTAGCAGAAGGCAATTGGTTTCAAGAATCGCTCCCGACGCTTCGTACGTACTTCGTACGATGAGAATTGTCCCTCTTGGTCTGCAGCAATGTGTACGCATCGTTGTCTTTCTCTGTTTCAGGGTTGGGTGCATCTCCACCGAATGCATATCCGAAACAACACAACTAAACACACGATTATCTACGCAACGGACGTAGAGTAGTGTGGACCCACATCGGTTCCAAAACTTACCCTTCTTTCGTACCGATGTCGTCATCGCCTCTATTCGCTCTGCCTATCAAACCGCCGTACCCATCCCACGCATGCTGACCGTCCGCCCCACTGGGGGGCGGGGGGGCAATCGGTCCCCCTAGTAGTCTATAATATATATATCCGTTTTTTTTGTGATTATGTAATGTTGTTGGTGCCTTGCTCTCCTTGGTAGAGACTGAAGAACCCACGGAGGAATGCGTGGGGCGTTCCGCCCGCAAGGATGTGGATGGGTGGGCTATTTATTAACAGGGACTTGCTCAATCAACCCTGAAAATTCTGCCCCCCCCTGATGTTATAGTTACAGTCCCCGCCATGATCGATCCTGTGACAGACTCTTTCCCTCAGGAGAAGTACCTCTCAGATCCCGTGCTCGGATAAATCCCACTCTCCCTCATAAAACCTGCACCGCCAAACATTGCAATTGATGGCTTCTTCTATGGACATGATAGGAGTCTAATATTCCTGTATCATCCTGGTTACGAAACGGACTGACGGCTGCCGTTCAGATTTTCTCGTTTCCTACAACCTTCACACAGAGTACCTAGCCGCCGCTCCATAATTTTGGGCGAGACTGGGCTGCAAAATGGCGCGTGGTTGGAATGCACAGCAGGTACCCGGGCTACTATCTGTGCTCAGGAGATCTTTGTTTGATGTACGTAATTAATGTTGAGCAAGGTAGGTATGTATATAACATGTTACAAGCAGGCGGCACCAGAGAAGGGACGAAAAAAAAAAAAACGGTAATACGTAAAGTCGAGCGACATGTAGTCTATGTGCAGCATGTACCTACGCATTGTTTTGACGAGACCTGTATGTATGTGCGGTAAAACGGCTGGGGGGGGGGTCGCATCCCCTCCGCATAATAACCGCGGCGCTAGTTATCTTTAGCAAACCTGTGTTGTTGTCGCTCAAGTCTAGATCGCATCTTCACATCGAAACGTACATGGACTACTGTATACCTCTAGTGTCGAGCGCGCACAAACCTTCAACTATCTTGTTTCCTCCTGTCTCTCTTCCAGGTACATCCCCGCTCCCCGTTCTCTGATTGTACAAAAGGAGGCGTTTGCGCCATGCGACGGCACGTTATTATTATTTGATCATCATCATCAACCCAGCAGACACAGACACGTTGACCTACAGGCGACAGGTTTTTGGTACTGCTCACAGGCCACATCCCTATGCTGGAATCCTTGGCGTTTTGGTCCTGCCGACATCTGAGGTGCACTTCATCGATCCCTCTTTGAACCTCTCCTTCGTGAGGTTGGCAGGAAGACTGCTGGAGAGGCGGCGGTGAAGAGAGGGTTCTGTTTCCTTCTGCTGCGTGAGGTACACACGTAGCACTGCTGTTCTCAGGCCTGCCACTACCCTCATCATTCCCACAGCCTTGTTCTTCTTTTGCTCCCTCCACCCCCAGGCATGCCGAGGCCACCCTCGGCGCATTGCGTTCTCTGTGTTGGAAGTGCAGACGGGTTAGGTGCCTGCCGCAAATCATGAGAGAGACACAGCAGGGGCCAGGGGCAGCGTTTGATATACGTATGATATTATATCTACGGTCTTTTTGTTGCTGTGGACAGCCCCAGGAAATGATTTTTGACCGTTCGAGATATAATGGACACAAGTGCACGCTTTGTGTAGTTTTTGGTTCTTGCGTGATCCCGATGCATACGTTCGGATTCGTAGTAAGGCTCTCGCTGCTGCTACTGGTGCTGGTGCTGGTCCTAGTCGTGTACTGCTGCTGCTGCTGCTGCAGTCCAGAAGATGTTCCTTCTCTCGCCGTCTCGCCCGCTGTCTGCACCATTGCACCGCCCAAGTCGGGAGTGGGTATGTATACTGACTCTTGGAGGTGGGTGCGGCGTAATTCGCGATTTTTGTGTCACTGGCAGCCAAGCAAACTGCCGCAGCTGGTGCTGGTGCTGCTGCTGCTGCTGCTGCTGCTGCTGCTGCTGCTGCCACACGTTGGCTTGTGAGTTGGGAAGGATGGCTACTGCCGCTGCTGCTGTTGGCTCTACCACAACCTCCACAACAGAGCAGGGAAGGCGAGGGACCAAGAGGAGGAGACGAAGCAGCAGAAGCAGCAGTAGCAGCAGCAGCAGCGGGGTCTATGGCTCGTTGCGGCTGTTCGTCGCGGGCTTCTTGTTGTTGGGGGGCAGGAGGGGGGACGAGGGCGACTGGGGAGGGCTGCTGCTTGCCGTAACGGGCCAGGAGTACATCGACGGCGGGGACGTGAGCATGGCATGCGACGAGTGCGACTGCAGGGGAAGCTCGGACTCTGGTACCATCGTCGTGTTCGAGAATCCAGCGACAGAATCCCTGGTGAGAAAAAGCCGTTTGTTTCTTGTACGTAAGAGCCCCATCCGTTTTAGTATACGGCGGTACTGCTGTTCCCACTCTTCGGAGGTGATTGCAAGAGGCAGCCGCGAAGCGTATCATGTCGTTCCCAGGCGTCAAACAGGAGACAGCCGTTCTGCCGCCAGCTGGCGCATCTTTTATCTCGCGACCACCAACGAGTCAGCGTGATTGCATGGGTCTCGTCTCGCAACACACCCCCTTCGACTGACTGCTGTGGTTGTGACGACTATATCTCGAACGGGTAGACTGCCGTCTGCTTAGTCTTCTGTGATTGTTATTTTCCCTGCAATTTAGAGATCAGATACTCTCCACCTTCATTTCCCTCGGCGCGGGCTTGTGCTATCTGCCACCGCCGCGCAGTTTAGTCGAAGGGCTCCCATAATTTGGTACTTGTGAAAGGGTAGGATGCTTGGGAAACCAAACATACCAACAAGTGAGGAAAGATGAAGGAAGTCCGTTCACACCTCCACACACTCGTAGGTACATGGGCAGGCAAGTTATTCAGTCGCCCATGGAGGATAGGGGCCAGAGGGGCAGACGACAGAGTCCAATGACGGGAGAAACAATAAAAAATATAACACCGGTTGCTCCGGTGGTCTAGTGGGTAGCCTCGCAGCCTGCTAGGGCCAGGTCATGGGTTCGAGTCCCGACAGAGTGAGTTTTTCTCTCTAATTAAATCCTTGTCTCCGTTGGAAGTGACACGCTGCAAAGCTCGTTGTTAGTAAACTTGATCGACTTCACAAGTCGCGAGGGAAGGGATTGCTGTACCCTTCTCGCAAAAGAAATATCTCAGGCAGGAACCGCAGGAGGGGGTCCACCCCCCCCCTCCTGTGTGACCCCGGTTGGGTCGTCTAGCTGATAGAAGTGGAGGATAGGGACCAGAGGGGCAGACGACAGAGTCCAATAATGGAAGCCAAAAAAATATATAATAATTTTTCGAGATAGAGTATAACCACACACGCGTGTCGAGTCCAATCTTCAGGGAGTTTCGGGAAACTCTCCCGGCTGCTGTCGAGAGCAATACATGCAGAACGCGCCACCACTCGCACGTGCGTGAGTAGTCCTTTCCACAGGAGTCACCCTTGCCTCCTTTTTTCGTGGCGACGCTTGCTCTGCTCGGCCAGCAAGATACATCGCGTTGTCTTCACATGCAAACGTTTTACAGAAACATGAGGCTGGACGCTTGTTGGTTGCCCCAAACCGAGCCCATGTTCTCATTGTGCAAGTTCTTTTTTGTCTCCTAGGAACACGGGGTCCTTTTTCTTATTTCTACGCCGATTGCCACATGTAGAGCACACAGGTCTTTCCGGTGGATTTCATCGCGACACTGAGAGTAACAGCGGCGGTATAAACCCTTACGTGACTGGGTTCATTTGAATTATTCATTTTTTTTTCCCGCAACTGGCTCTCTGTGGTCCAAGATCTTACTGCATACGTGCACACAAATCACGGCGGCAAGGATGGTGCAGCAGTGAGTCAATGTGTGGGGCTGACAGAGATAGGGACGCTGGTATATATGTATATGTATATTTATTTTGTCTCCCATCATTGGACTCTGTCGTCTGCCCTCCTGGTCCCTATCCTCCACTTGTACCAGCTAGACGACCCAACCGGGGTCACATAGGAGGGGGGGGTTGGACCCCCTCCTGCGGTTCCTGCCTGAGATATTTTTGATCGCGAGAAGGGTACAGCAATCCCTTCCCTCGCGACTGATGAAGTCGATCGAGTTTACTAACAACGAGCTGCGCAGCGCGTCGCTTCCAACGGAGACCATGATTTCATTAGCGAGAAAAAACTCACTCTGTCGGGACTCGAACCCATGACCCGGCCCTTAGCAGGCTGCGAGGCTACCCACCGGATCACCAGGGCGACGCGGGTATATGCAAGGGTGATGGACAGGAGTAGCACCACTGCTGAACTGCACGTACAGCAGTCGTTTGAGGAGAGAGAAAATTTTACAGCAGTAGTCTGAGATCATGTGCATGCCTATCTCCTACAGCAACCGTGTTGTTGACCACCTGTGCAAACTATACATGCTGGGTACATCTTCTCCGCCTCGTCCCTGGACAGAGCATACGGCAAGCGCATATTCTAGCGGCGCTAGATGCGAAGGTGCTGCGGGAAACCGCCTCACAAGAACGCCAGATCGATGCAGAAGTAACGGCCCACTCAGCAAATCGGACCATCATCCACTGTCGCACAATATGCATAAAAATCCCGAAACGTGTTACAATTCCGTACTAAAAATAGCGAACTGTGATCGGAGGTGTGATCGGAGGTGTGATCGGAGGTGTAGTCGTGAAAACCTTCTGCCTTGAGCGATAAGTTACACACAGCAGACGAACCTCCTTTCACTCCCGATACGGGGACCCTCACGCACCGTTACCACAACAAGCACCGAGGCAGTACGTCAGCATCGGCTCCGGCGCGCGTTTTCTCTGCTCTCCGCCGCGCACGCGGCTCCGGGTTGATCGCATGTTGAGGGTGCTGTATGTACCCTCCTGTCGTTTTTTGCGTTTGGGTCTCACGTAGTCCGTGCATCGATTGGATATGGAAAGGACATCTGCCTCGCGTAAGAGATATGAGCCCGGTCAAGTACTGTTTGTACCCCGTGCGCATTGCTACTATGCGTGCTTTGGGGGTGGGCTGCCTCTTTGTCTCCCTGCTGGTCTCAATTGTATGCTTTACTCTCTTGAGCGAGGCACACCGGCGATCTTACGGCACCCAAAGTGATCGGAGCTGGGAACGGGTTCATTCGTGGGTGTAGTCACTTAAGGGTTAACACCAGCAGCATGTAAATTCCGTTCGGGCCTGATGGATCCAAATTTGAAAAAAATACTGGTAGTCATTGATCCGCGGATCGTATGGAGTATCTTTGAGCTCAGACAAATCCGTTACGAATTTTCCGCATTAATCCGAACCCACGTCCAAACGTCACTGAACCACTCAAGCCACTGCTGTTGTGTGGCTGGCATGTCCGTTGAAACTTGTAAATCCGAAAATTTATTCAATAAAAGAAAGGAATCCAATATCTCTCGACATGTTACCTCGAGTACGAAGCCCCTCTACACATTGTCTCTAGAGGTCCAGATTTGCTGTGACTACCCTCTCCTTACGTTGTATGGCAGCTGCCAAGAGCAGTTTTCGCGCTTTTTGTCGGCACGTTGCGATACTCGAGGGATGTAGGCACACGCATGTAAGCAAATTATCAAGCTGATATGCAAATGATCGTTTCGAGGATATCGCCGCGCCTGGGGTGGTTCGCGTGAGTCCCCTCAGAATCTCGTGAAAAAGTTAGGGTTGGTGTTACAGTGTTTGAACCTCGCAAATCTAAGAATATGAGCACCACTTGCAAAACTCTGTTAAGAATACATCAAAACCTATCGGCCATTCGTAGCGTAATCCTAGGAACTAAGAACCCCATCATCCGCCGAAACTTAGAGGTTCTGGAGTGCGAAGGGCTAACGGCATACGAAACTACGTGAAAACCCACGTACGTTGTCGAGATCAGAAGGGAGGAAATTGCTGTGTGAGTCACAGATCCATGAAAAGCATGAGAGAGAGGGGGGGGAGGTGGGGGGGGGGGG